AATTGGTGAAAGAAATAGACTTACAAGGCCAGGAAGCGAAGAGAACCCCAAAGAAAAGGAATCCAAAGAGGACCACACCAAGACACATCATCATTAAAATGCCAAGAGCAAAAGACAAAGAGAGAATCTTAAAAGCAGCAAGAGAAAGAAACTCAGTTACCTACAAGGGAATACCCATACGACTATCAGCTGATTTCTCAACAGACACTTTGCATGCCATAAGGGAGTGGCAAGAAATATTCAAAGTGATGAATGCCAAGAACCTACAACCAAGATTACTTTATCCAGCAAAGCTATCATTCAGAATTGAAGGTCCGATAAAGAGCTTCACAGATAAGGAAAAGCTAAAGGAGTTCATCACCACCAAACCAGTATTATATGAAATGGTGAAAGGTATCCTTTAAGAAAAGGAAGAAGAAGAAAAAGGTAAAGATACAAATTATGAACAACAAACATGCATCTATCAACAAGTGAATCTAAGAATCAAGTGAATAAATAATCTGGTGATCATAATAGAATCAAGGACATCGAAAGGGAATGGACTGACTATTCTTGGGGGGGGAAAGGGTGTGGGAGATTCGGGAAGAGACTGGACAAAAATCATGCACCTATGGATGAGGACAGTGGGTGGGGAGTGAGGGCGGAGGGTGGGGTGGGAACTGGGTGGAGGGGAGTTATGTTGGGAAAAAAGAGTAACTAATGTAATAATCTGAACAATAAAGATTTAATTAAAAAAAAAAATAAATGAGATGGCCTACCAACTGCCAGACATGTGAGTAAGGCAGTTTGGACTCATTCAGAACCAAGTGAACTGCCATACTGACTGTAGAAACATGACTGATCCCAAGTGAAACCAGCAGAACTGCTCTGCTGAGCCCAGCCAAAATTGCTAATCCACAGAATCATGAACAAAAAAATTGTTTTAAATTATGCAAGAGTTAACCGGTACACTGGAATGAAGTGAAAATTTAAAACATGCAAAAAATAGACCTTACTTTCAAAATAATATCTACAGAAACAAAAGTAAAGTAAAATAAATACTATGGCAATTCTGCAAATCTTCTACATAATAGTAGTTAAAAAAAGTGCTGGATAAGTTCAACTACTGAGACGATAATACAATTGATGAAGACATCAACTTATTACCCTCATATAAGTAGTTACTGAGGTCCTTATTAATGCTTGGATTGTCTAGCCACAAAAAACAACAACAACAACAACACACACACACACACACACACACACACACACACACACAAAAAAAAAATTTTTGCTATTATAAGCTGAGAACAGAAGCATGGAAAAATATTAATCAAAGCATAAGACTGCATATTAAACACAAAATAGATTTCAGAATTTTAATATTAGAAAAGAGCTAAAGAGGTCAGAGGAGATACAAGAACTAATATGTATTGTGTGCTACATGTGTTAAAAGTAGTATATGAATTTTATGTTAATGTAAGATTTTTTTTTAAAAAATAAGGGTGAATTATAGAAAATCTTGGCTGCATACTGAAGGGAAGCCAGGACCTAATGAAAGAAGCCTTCACTTCTGTGCTACGTTGTTTTTCCATAACCATAATCCATAATAGTAATGATGAAAAAGACTAATGCATGGAGCTGGAGTCTGTCTTTAGCAAGAGGCAAATATTATCTTTTTCTAAAATAATATTTTTTACAAAGCAGTTAACTTCCAATTTGGTTTTGTGCCTGTAAAATCTCAAAAACAACCAATCAGAATCCAAAGTTTTCATGGTCAAAGTGACTGGCTTGGTTCCCTTGTCTGCTCAACTAACCAAAGCCCCAATACAGAGGGTTGCTAAGCTAACTGGTATAACCATGGGGCTGTCTTAGCCATCATTTGGAGAAAACCTTTCTGAGACTGGAACTAGCACAGAAGAAAACAGTGGAGGAATGAAGGTATACCATTCCTGATGCTTTGAGACTGTGGATACATCAGAAAAAATGAAAGGTAACCCTAGATTTCCCAGATACTTGAGCAAATAAATTCATTTTAGTTAAAAAAAATAAGGGGGGGGGAGGTGGGGGAGAGAAAATGCCTTCAAGTATACTTATGAATAAGAACACATTTTTGTCCCTAATTATCTCTATACTCCACATCTCAAAAGAGGATACCTCTCTATCTTTTGCCTTTTTCTAGTTCTGCAGTGGTTATAGAAATGCCCTCCGTTCTAAGACACTGTGAATGTTTCAGTAGCCTGTAAGTAATGAGTCCAGATTTTCAGTATGCAAATCTCATGAAGAATTATTAGGAATAGCATAGGCAATATCTCTTGGTAACTGATCAACTCCATAACTAATTATAAAGTGAATGTGATGGGATAAAATTAAGTTTAATAATTTTATCACTTCTATGTTGGTTTCCTATTAAAAACAGTTCTGAAGTAGGTGAATAAGCTTATGTGCCGTCAAAAATGTAAGTTAAATAAGAATAATTAATTATAGCCCCTGGAGTAAGAAGTACAAGAATGAAAAAACTATTATTTTACAGACAATTCAAAAATTTTTAAACACAAAATTATATAATAAAATTGAAATACAGAAACATGTAGAGAGGAAAAAAAATTAATCCATTAGGGGCACACTAAAAAGCATTAAATAAAACGTTTTTAATTCTTTACTGAGATGTAACTTAAAAATCTGATTCACATCTCTCTCCCCCTATTTTTTGGGGGGGAGGCAACCAAAATTTTTGGTGGCCTAAAAAGAAAAAAAAAGAAAAAACTGATTCATAACTCTTACTTTGATTTTCTCTCATCGTGTCCATCTCTTAGATTCCTGTCTTCTCGGACATCTTCTCGCTTTTCTCTGCGGTCCTCTCGTCCTTTGTCTTCCCAATCCCTCTGACGCTCTCGTTCTTTATCCCTTACTCTTTCTCTTTCTCTTTCCCGCTCTCTCTCTCTCTCCCTCTCCCGTTCTCGCTCTCTCTCCCTCTCCCTTTCTTCTCTCTCTCGCTCCCGTTCTTTTTCCCTATCTCGCTCCCTCTCTCTTTCTCTCTCTCGATCATGGTCACGATGATCTCTTTCACGGTCTCTCTCTTTTTCTCTTTCTCTTTCCCGCTCCCGTTCCCTAGCCCGCTCTCTTTCTAGTTCTCTTTCTTTTTCTCTTTCCCGATCCCGCTCTCTGTCTCGCTCTCGTTCCCGATCTCTTTCTCTAACTCTTTCATCTCTTCTATCATCCACTCTGTCTACTCTTCGTTCCTCTCTTCTTTCATCACGCTCAAGCTCGTCATTCCTTCCCTGATGTCGAATTGGTGAGCTTGGTCTTTGATCTACAATGAAAATCAAGTTTTGTCAGTGATTAATTTGACAGATAACCTATTGGTAAGACAGTATGGCAAATTTTAAATTTTATGTGTATTAGGGTCACAGTGGCAATAAATATAAATCAGATACCACCTTTATATTTAATTTAATCAGCCAAATAATCACCCCTAGATGTTTAAAAATATTTTTTCTTAAAGGTATTTTTTTTTGCCCTCTAACTAACATGTTTTCTGCTCCCCATCAATCCCCCACCCACCTCCCACTGATCCACCTTTGATCTTTCTCTGCATGCTCCTTACCCTACCTCCAGCCCACTGCTCCAACCCCACTTTCTGCCATCTCTACCCTTCACCTCTGATCTTCTCTGTCCCCCCAGCAGGACCTGAGAACACTGGTGGCAAAGGATAGGGGCAGCAGGAGGTGTAGAACATAGGAGCTGAAGGAAAAAAAAAATTTCCCTCGTAAGTCACACCTCTAATTTCAGGCAAAAATATATACACATAAAAGTGCAGCTATTATGTGAGGAAAAAATAGTAGAACAAAACAAATATTTGTTGCTGCAATATCAATTTATCATAAATTAAAATATTAAGGGTACTGACACTTAGCAATTTTGAAATAATCAAATGTAAAAAGTGTTTCATATTCGTGATATATTTACAATTAATAACTAACTACTAATAAAAGTTTTATTTAATCACATAACTAATTACTCAGATGAAGAGCTGTTTTCTTAAAATGAGTTAATCTCATCACATTATATATGTACGTATATTTTTTGATACATAAATCATATAAACAGAGAAAATTAATGCATGATGCTCAAATGCCTAGTTGAGCAGGAAATTAGTCTGGGATCAAAAAATGTATAATAAAATGGCATGCACTGTTCCATGGAGATGGCCACTTTCATATTATATAATAATATTTACAGGCTAATTATAAAGTCATACTATAATATGGCCAACAGATTTATAAGTGGTATATCTAACATCAACTTATTAAGCAGAATAATTTTAGGATATTTCTAGAAAAGGGCTCAATATAGTAATTTAAATTTCCTTTCTTACCACATATGAAAGATACAAATTATCCATATATACTCATTAGAAGTTATAGATTGATATAAAAGTTCATAGCATTTTAAAACTAAAACCAAACCAAACCTTGTCCTGCCCCCTTCCTCCTTTTCCTCTTAAAAACACAGAAATTATGCTCCAGAAGTGTGTCACAGTCATAGGTAAATACATTAGGACAGTAGAATTAGAATTCAGTTCTCTTAAGACCTTTTTTACTTTTTTTGCTGAAACTATCTAAAATGGTTTTATTATATTACACTTTTGATTCCCAGATGCTAGATGATTGTCTCAATTACTGGTTTGGGGGTCACAGTAATGTCACAATGATTATAAAATGTTGAAACAAACTCAATACTGCATCTTATAGTAATAAGGGAATATCAGGGATGGGTAACCTTTTTTCTGCAAAGGGCCATTTGGGTATTTATAACATTTGCGGGCTATACAAAGTTATCAACTTAAAATTAGCCTACTATATTTGGTCAAACATTTAACTCATCCCTAATGCCTGGCAGGGCCAGACCAAATGATTTCTCGGGCCTTATATGGACCATGGGCTGGATTTCCCCACCCTTGGAATAGACTTTTTACCCAGACACTATTTTGATGTATAAAAAGTATTTTACCAACCAAAATGACAATGTTCCTTACTTCAAAGAAAATAGAAAAAATGTAAGAACACCAGTTTAATGTCTAAACTATCTTCTCTCTGTTTCCCCCCAAAATGTGTTCTTTGAAGATGTGTTTTTCGTAATATATTTCCTTTATCTTAATGAGTGACATACCCATTCATGAAAGTTGGAAATCTCTGAATCCCATCATATTCAAGTAACCATCAATTTCACTCTCAAAATATTTCTTCTATTTCCTTTCTTCATTCCTACAGTTAATATTATTAACTCAGATTTTGATAAGCTCTTCTTAGATGTCCATGTCATCAATAGTCTAACTGGTTGGTATTCTTGGTCTTCAGTCTTTCCCCAGACTCTCTTATAGTTTTTGATGAAAACTCTGTCCTTCCAGCTGCTTAAAAGCAGTTACCTTATACATAGTGAAAAGGCAATTAAATACAAAATTTTTAGCCTGACTTATAAGCCTGACAACCTGGCCTATCAACTCTCATCAATCTTTTTTCCTAGCTTCTTTCCTTTTCTACCAAATATAGCATACCTCTACCCTAACCTCATACTTCTTTATTACTTCAAAACATGTTTCTTTTAGTCTTGTATGTCTGCACATGCTGTACCCTCTCCCTGAAAAGTGTTTCTTCCATTGTTCCTTTAGGCAACTCTTACTATCCTTCAGACCCTAGTTCAGATGTCCCCTATTTAGGAAGCTTTCTTGGATTTCCTCAGAATTCTGTTTGCTCCTTTGTCTTCTCATAGAACTTTATAGAGTAGTTGCATTTATCACACTTCAATTGTCTATTTGTACCTATTTAGGCTGTGAAGAACTAAAGGGAAGATTTAAATTCCTAAGCACAGAGCAAGGTGCCTGGGTATATCTCTAACCTCAACCTCCCTCAATCTCCCTACTGTCACCATACACTACTCACATTGATCTTCTTTCAAACTAGGACATATTAAATTTTCCCATGGCATATACTCTTCTCTCTGCACAGAATGCTTTTACCCTCAATCTGTGCAATACTAATGTCTCTTGTATTTGTGCCTCTGCATAAATATAATTTTTAAAAAAATTTTTCATAAATACTCTATCTAGATAAAAAAAAAAAAGCTCCATCTCTTAAACCTTTACTTCTATATTTGGGTCCCTTGTTTGTTTCCTTGATAGCACTGAATCACTGTTCCATTTTTTTGAGGGGTGGGGTGGGTTATCTTCACTTCTATTAAGTTCTACAAGGACAAGGGCTATTGTACTCTGAGAGCCAAGCAAAATGCATGGGGACTTGGTAAACATTTATAGAATATCATTAACCTCAAAAATATATTCCTATCTCAGATATACAAATGGTATTTGTTGAAATAGTTATGGTAAAGTAAAACAGAAAAAGAACAGGCCTTGTAGTCAGAAGACCTAAATTTGAATTTCAGCTATGGAACTTATTGCTCTGTAATACTGGAAAAATCACTACCTTTCTCTTGGCCTAAATCTCCTAAATTATAAAACATGGATTGTATATCTACACTTACAAGGATATTTTTAAAGGATTTTATGATTTAAAAAAATATACACATGTTCTTTAATATTATAAAAGGATATTAAGTCAGAGAATATATATAAAGCAACTATCAAAGTTCTTGGTAACTTAATGCATGTGGGGTTTAACTAAATATAAAATTGAAACCAAATGCTATGACATGAGAAAAACCTGAGCCAGAATATGAAACTAGAAAAAAAAAAGGAAAAAAATAAGGTATAAAAAAAGCATTACCAGGACACAGTGTTAAAGAGAGTAAAGAGAGGTGAATCAGTGTCAGGAAAGAAATAATTTCAGATATAAACACAGAATATATAAACTCCAGCCTCATCTGTAACTAAAGAAATCATACACATCATCTTTTAACCTAAATATTAGGCTTACCCTAACAAACTCAACCCAACCAACACTGATTTCATCTACACTCCCCAAAGTACATTGTGTCTTAGAGACTTCATTCATTCTCCTCTCAGTACTTCCCATATCAGGATACTGTATTACCTCTTTGATTCAGCTCACTGTGAAGCATCAATATTCAATTCTCTACTCCATCAAGTTTTGTACTATACTAATCTCAGCATTACAGTAAACCTTACTTTAGTAACCAGCCAAGGTTAGTAAGACCTTCATAAAATCTGGGCTATCTATAGCCCTAATATGTACAAGAAATAAAAGCTTGTTAAAGAAAGTACTTATTACTCTTCTTAAATGCCGTCTAGTAGCCTTGCTTCAAAATTTAAGAGATCACCTAATAGAGTAACAGAAAATGTTCAGATTAAGATATAAAAGAATCTAAAATTAGCTAAAGCAAGCATTACATATTCTCAGGAAAGAACATAAATAAAATGTTTCTCCAGAAAACCCCAACCCTGTAATTATCATTTTGTTTGTTCCTCTACAGCAGTCTTTTTTATTTTTATTTATTTATTTATTTTAAAAAATATATTTTATTGATTTTTTTTACAGAGAGGAAGGGAGAGAGATAGAGAGTTAGAAACATCGATGAGAGGGAAACATCGATCAGCTGTTTGCCCTTGGTACATGCCCTTGACCAGAATCGAACTTGGGACCTTTCAGTGTACAGGCCGACGCTCTATCCACTGAGCCAAACCGGATTCGGCCTTCACGACAGTCTTTACAAAACTGTTTATCACTGCTAGTGAGGGAGTGGCCAGGATACTCAAATGAGAAAGTTTAAGTATCTCCCGAGTCAGAAATGCCAGAATGGTACCCCAAATCTACATTTTTTAAAGGGTTATGAGTTATTTGGTTAAGGTGAGAGACATACAACAGTGCACCTCAATTCTTTCAGTGTGCAACTACCTACACTGTTGCCTAACAGGTCATGGTAGCTAGTTATTTACACATTCTCCCCTAAATTAAGTAAACAAGAAAAGATTATATGAGTAAATATAATAGCTTCAAATGTGTCAACAAACAAAAATCTTAAAAGACATCATTCATTAAAAAGTAAGTTGATAACTATTTAAAAAATAAGAATTTCTCCAATCAATGTTGGTCATTATTTAATAATATTCCATTTGACAAACCTCTTTCTCTATTGTCACGACGGTCTCTTTCTCCATGTCTTCTCTCAAAGGAAGAATCTCTTGTTTGATCTCTACTGTCTCTTTCAGGATATCTGTCTCTTTCAGGATAGCTACTTCGAGTTTCCCAGCTTTCATGATAGTTGCTACTACTACTGTGACTATCAAGTTGAGAAGCTCTTGTGCCTCGGCTTCCTAAAAAGGATATTCACACAAATGTTTACTTATACACTTCATTCAACAAGTTTCATCAGTCACAATTTTTCCGACCAAAACCCATACAGATAAAGGTGTTTTACTTAATTCAAAAGTGTACTAATCATTGTTGAAAAGAATATTAGCTGTTAGATCAGAACACCTAAGTTGTCTTATGGATATATAGTGGGGCCCTGACTTACGAGTGTCCCGACTAACCAGTTTTTCAAGATATGAGCCGTCTCTCGGCCAATTTTTTGCTTTGAGTTGCGAGCTAAAATTCGGGTTACGAGCCAGCTTCAGATACCCCACCGCTAGTTGGCGCAGCGAACGTCACAGTGAACGCAACAACATCAGTCCAGCATCACGTGTCTCACTCATTCACTTTATGATTTGACATACGAGTAATTTGAGTTACGAGCTCTGTCACGGAACGAATTAAACTCGTAAGTCAAGGCCCCACTATATATTATTGCTTTGATTACAGTTTATGAGTGAAAACATTCCAATTCAGATCCAAGACACTTTGTCGACATTAAGTGATACCTAAAAATTTACATTAAAAAATGTGGGAAATGAATAGTCATAGTAGCCTTATTTGTAATACCAAAAACTGCAAAGGACCCAAATGACTTTTAATGGGTGACTGGTTAAAAAAACAGAGGTACATCCAAACCATGGAATACTACAATAGGGAACAAACTACTGATACATGAACTTCAAGGAAATTATACTGAATGAGAAAGCCAATTTCAACAAGATACTTGCAGCATGATTCCATTTATGTAACATTTGTGAAATAACAATTACAAGATAGAGGACGTATTAGTGGTTGCCAGGGATTAGGGGCAAGGGATTTAGGCTGTGGCTCTAAGGGGATAACACAGGGAGTCTTGTGATGGTGGTAACGCAAGGCTACACAGCCATTAAGGAAAACAGTACAGAGCAGTGGTTCTCAACCTTCCTAATGTCGCGACCCTTTAATACAGTTCCTCATGTTGTGGTGACTCCCAACCATAAAATTATTTTTGTTGCTACTTCATAACTAATTTTGCTACTGTTACGAATCGTAATGTAAATATCTGATATGCAGGATGTATTTTCATTGTTACAAATTGAACATAATTAAAGCATAGTGATTAATCACAAAAACATTATGTAATTACATATGTGATTTCTGATGGTCTTAGGCGATCCCTGTGAAAGGGTCGTTCAACCCCCAAAGGGGTTGCGACCCACAGGTGGACAACTGCTGGTATAGAGGCTGCTAAAAAAACTAAAAATAGAATTATCATATGATCCAGCAATTCCACTGCTGGGTATATGTCCACAGGAACTGAAATCAGGATTTAGAAGAGATATCTGTATTCCCATGTTCATTACAGCATTATTCACAATAGCCAAGAAATGGAAGCAACCTAAAGAAAATGCGGTATATATATATACAATGGAATATTATTCAGCCTTAAATAAGAAGAAAATCCTGCCATTGGTGACATGAATGAACCTGGTGGACATTATGTTTAGTAAGATAAGCCAGACACAGAAAGACAAATACCGCATTATACCACTTATATGTAAAATCAAAAACAGTCAAACTCATAGAAGGAGTGAGCAGAATGGTGGTTGCCAAGGACTGGAGGGAGAGTGACACAGGGAGGTATTAGTCAAAGGATACAAAATTTCACTTGTACAGGATGATGAGTCCTAGATATCTTCTGTATGTTATAGTGCCTATAGTTAGTAATATGTATCAGAAACTAAAAAATTTGGTAAAGAGGGTAGATCTTATGTTAAGTATTTTCATTATACACATTCTATATAATAAAAGGCTAATATGAAAATCCACTGAACAGGCAAGTGCATGAATTTCGTGCACCGGGCCTCTAGTCTATATATATATATAAAAACCCAGCGACCAGAACGGCAGAATGACCAGAAGGACCGGTGGCTATGACATGCACTGGGGCAGCCAACCAGCCTGATCCAGGCCCCAACCTCCCTGTCTCTGGCTGGCCCCACCCTCAATTGGACCCCAACACCCCGATTGGGGGTGAGGCCGGCTGCCCAACCTCCCATGGTCCCTCTCCATGGCCGGCCTTATGGGCCCCATCAGGGAAGGCCGGCCAGACCCCACCCCTGCATAAATTTGTTTACCGGGCCTCTAGTACACAAATAATAACAAATAAAGAGAGCAGGATGAAATATTTTTGCAGGTGACAATTATGTTTATGGCACAGATGTGGTATATACTTATTTCCAAGCTCATCACGTTGTGTACATTAAATGTGTATAGCTTTCTTTTCATATTTATAGCTTTATTTTAGAGATTTTTTGTAATAAAGACAAAAACAGGTGATCTAGTCATCAATAGTTTGACAGCTGAAATGAGTTAAGCTGATTGAAGCAGATGGTTGTCTTTCTCAGAAATAAAATTAATTTCCCTAGGTATCTTGTAGCTCTTCATTCTATTGGGAGCATTTTAGGTAACCTGACAGAGAAAAGCTGAGTGCTGGGACACAGTCCCTCCCAGCCACAGTGTGCCAATTTGCCCAAGTCCATGCCCTCTGAGTACTGCAGGCCAGGTGCTGACACTGGAGCCAAAGGGGATGCAGTTATTTCTAGGGCCTTCCCTCTGGAGCTGCCCAGGCAGGCATGCTAGTCCCAGCAAAGAGGGGTTGGGGGGGAGGGAGGGGGCAGCCAGAGGTGGGTATGGCCTGGGAGGGGCAGGGTCAGGCCGAGACTCAGGAAAATCCCTGCCCTCCTTACACGCCTCCCTACAGCCCAGACCGGCGTGATTGTGACATCACAGGCGCCATTGGGCTGGGGCCCTGGGAATGCCCCCACACCCGGGGGTCAGCCACCCCCAGCAGCTGTGAGTGACTACTTAGCTGCGCCTTAAGGATGCACACCTTGGTGGTCACCAGTGGATGCAACCCGCCCTGCACAGGATGGGGGTTACAGGGCCTTGGGATGTTCCTTCTTCCCCCATTCGCCCTGCCAGGTGGCTGGCACCGAAACTGAGTTGCGCACCAGACCCCAGGCAGGGGACTTCTCTGGGCAAGATGGGGAGTGCCTGCATGACTTGCTGCTGTGGCACAGCTTGTCCCTGTCCCTTAAGCCCTGGGGAGCATCTAATTATGGCCTAAGGGGCACCATGGATACTTTAGGGAGGGCTTGCCTAACAATCTATGCAGGATTTAGTTTCCCTCTAATCCAAAGGTACAGAGAAGAGTAGGGTCCAAACCGAGGAGAAGGCGGCCTATGAGGGGTGGAGCTCAGCACAGCAGGACCCCAGTGGGAGTTGTCTGTCTGAGTCAATATCCACTTAGTGTGGAAAGATGACACTGCACAAGTCCCACGTTGGGTGCCAAATCTGAAACCCCGAATGGCAAGCTTGGACACTTATCATCACAGGTTCTTGTCCTATAAAGTTTGAAAAATAAAATTTGCAGACTAAATGATTTTAAGCAAAGTGTAGAAGTTTAATGCAAGGGTATACAAACTCCCTCTGGGAAAGGGTTCCTTAAAGGGACCCCCCTGGGGAGAGTTCCCCAAATGGAGAAAAGCTTGCTCTCTAAAATGGAAAAAAACCTAGTGATATGGAATTTTTGGACTGGAACCCAGATTCTTTGCCCACTGGAGTTGAAGAATGAATCCACGGACAGAGGTAGTATAGCAAAAGTGGAGATTTATTGAAGAACAAGTACAGACTCCCACATGGGGAGAGGGAAGGAGTCCCACAGAATGGACTCCCACGTGGGGAGGGGGAAAGGGTCCCCATGTATAGCTTTTTGTATGTCAATCATACCCCAATAAAATGATTTTTAAAAAAGTTCATGGAACCAAACACACACACACCTTACACATAACAGCTTTAGGAGCACTGAACAAATTATAGCATAATTCTAAATACTGCAAGAGAGTATTTTAATAATCAAAATATTTACAAAGAATATTTTAATAATTAAAGACCAAAAAGAAGAAACTGGAAACACTGTTTAAAATACTACATAAAACCTCTGGGAATGAACAGGTTAAATGTTGGATTAGATGGCGCTAAGAGAAAAATGAGTAAAAAAAGATATGTCTGAGAATACAACCCAGAGAATGAAAGACAGATAAAAAGATGAAAAATTTGAAAAGAGAGTTAGGAGGAAAAAAAGACACAAGGAAAGATTCAAAATGTGCCTAACATTTGTCTAACTATATACTGTTTGGAGTACTTTAAAACAAAAAGATACAGAAAGCTTGAAAGGATAAAAAAAGTCATATCAAACAAATACTAACCAAAAGAAATTGGTGGAGAGACGTCAGAGAAATGGCAGTGTGAGAGGCTCCACTGGTCTGTCTATTCCCACTGAAGTTACAACAATTTGAACAGCTATAATTCATCAAAGGATTCCCTGCTCAATGCACAAATACATTTGAGAGATCCATGCACTGAAAAATCTGAAGGTGGGCAAGTAGTTGACAGTAGAGAAATAGAGAAGGGAGCAGAGTAGAGACAGGTGCCAAGGACACAGCAAGGAGCTCACTGTGGATATCGAAGAGGAGAGAAATCAGGTTGCTGTCTGCACTCCCTACAGGCCAAAGGAGCAGGGATACAATTAGGTGAGCATTCTTACAGGAGTAGTTGGTACATGCTGTGGCCGAATTCAGTGAGTTGGGCAGAGATGGAGGACAGAGGTGTAGCTTGGTTGTCAGGCGGTTGCCACTGGCAGCAAAGGTCTTGCAGTTGCCAAGAACCCCATTGCTACCACATTCCCCCACAGGGATCATGACCTGAGACTGAAAGGACTTTGTCAGAGAGGAGATGCTCACCTCCCCAGGTAATACAGGGCATTTTCTACCACCCCACAGAGATGCCAGGCAGTGCAAGAGAAACTAAAAAAATAAAATTGTGCCACATACTAGAAAACAAAAGATTTCTTACCAACCTATTAGAAAAGTGCACTATTTAACAAAAGCAAAATGGAGAAATTTCCAGAAACATACAA